AACCCAAACTCTGACGCTGCAAACGGAAACATACAGCAACGAACCAGGTGATAACTGTATACTCAGTCGAATGTACGTAAAGAAACCCCACCGAATCGCATAACAACGAGCGTCAAACCGCTTCAAGACAGTAATCACCACCGTGTAATTGTTGTGTGCTGGGGGGGGGGGGGGTGAAGGGGGGCTGTAAAGCGATGTTGTCGACAAGGGTAGGTCGAATAAACGAAGGCGTCGTATTATAATATCAAACGAGTCCACTAGTGGAAATAACGTTCTATTATGGACTCTGATAATATATGCGCAGTCATAGAAAGATATGTTGTAATTATGGAACTGTGTTTCGCAGCACTTCAGTAAGTACTGTTGTCGGTATAGGGCAATGAGACGCCAACGTCACGGAAGGTCAGTACTGGTGGCATGTATTGGCACTATAGGGTGCACACTGGTTTGCAGAATCGGCTTCAACCGTAGTGACGTTATCACGGCCAAGCGTTAATAAACTGCCCTGGGTTTAATGGTCACCGTTCAAAGGCAAAGCTAGGTCCGATGGCATTACATATTAGGTCAAGGCATTCCCGTTGACACTAACCTTTGTCTCACGATGTCAGGCTCCAAGACATTAATTGTGCACATATAAAATATAACTTTTCCAAGAAAGCATGTGCGGGATTATTTAATAGGTCAAGGCCATTACAGACCCGGTTAAAATATGCCAATTTCAGTGCATAGGATTTTAAGAGATTTCGGACGCTGCTAGAATTCGGCTGCAAGGTCATCATAACTACATATACGATTTAATCACACAGTCGATAAGGTTCTATAAAGAGCAATCTAGATGAGGGTTCAGGCAGAATTATACTTTTCACCCAATATCATGAAGATAATACTAATGCAGAATAAAATGCTGGCCGTATTACTCGTGTAAGCAGTGCGTCAGCGCGTAACGGCTGTATCCTAGCCATCGAAGCCCTGAAATGGAAAGGCTAAGGTGCGTCTGTAGTAATGTGCAGTCTGGTACAGCCAACTCAAGACTACTCGACAAAGAGGAGTTGTGCGAAACTCACTTCATACTCCGATCTTTTCACGAACGACTCAACTGCATCAAATAACCGCCTACAGTCCATCTAGATTCTAGATCTAGACTCTAGACTCTAGAGAGTCACCATTTCCGCCCATATATTTCAGCTAAACAGTGAAAAACACAGGGCTGCGCTATCAGGCGTCCGAGTCCGGCGCCTATTTGATTCGTTGCTAGACGGAGTTCACTGTTCCCGACGATGCCGGGGAAAAAGCTGCGACGTACGAACTAGCAACAAATCACGGCGACCAGCCGAAATGTACACAGCAAACCGTCAAATAACTGGCACGGCGAATTTCTCACGTGCGATCGAGTGGCAACTGCAATTACGCAAACACGCTTAACATTCAACATCGAATGTCAGGTAGCACGGTTCGTGCGCGCTTATAATGCCGGTTACATTAGTGCATAATGCATATCCGCTAGCCGAATTCACGTCGATTCCCAAAGATTCAAACTTGAGCTAGTAGAAGAAAGAGTTTGTTAACAGACATTTCTCAGTGAAATATATAAAAATTTCCCAAGCCAATCACTTCGATAGCAGGCACGATGATCATTCAGAGGCATCACTATGCTGCGCAATGTCCGCGTTTAGAAATCACGTAAAAAGTTGCTGTAAGAATGAAGAAACGAACCAACAAAAAACAATAAAGCGGCGGTGAGTTAGTATACCGAACGAATAAAATGAAGTTTTGTAATCGATTGCACAATTAAAGAAAATGTACACTAGCCAATCCATGCACAGGAAAGCGACAAATGCGCACGTCGCTGATTGCTGTCTACATACGAAACCCAACCTTTCGTAGGCGAAGATAATAATGGGCGAGCGGGATACAAAGACCCCTATTCAGTGACAGAAACGTCACTTCGGCCGAGTAATCTCATCTTAGTTTCAGTCCGCGCGTATGTTACAACGATCTAGAGGTAGCACTAGCAATAATCTAAACAAAGCATTCCGGAGATAGAATGACCAACGTTTAAAGTTGCTATCATGAACAATGAATTGAACGCTCTCTCTCTCTCCTCTCGTTCTGCTTGTGTGTGGGTGGCCACTCTATCTCGTCTCTTCTCCTCGCTCATCCCCGCATCTTGCCGCTTTCCTTCCCCTGCCTCAGCTCCGCGCTGCTCCCCACAACCTATTCTCCAGCACATCTTGCTCCTTTCCTCTATCGCCTATCGCTTCCCACCTGCCTTCTCCTTTCCCGTACCCGCCTCTCCTCTGGTGTAATTTTCACCTTCATTTTTATATGGAAGCACGTACGAGTAACAGCCAGACCTCATCAAATTGCCTGTTTTTCAATGCTGCGTAAGCGAACACACGTACCGAGTCAGATGTTTCACAATAAAAGTCGGCCGCAATCCGGATCAGAAATGCACTGTGGCCCGACGCAAAGCGAGACAGAGAGATGAAGCGACAGTCGATTTATTCTATTCACTTCGTCTGCGCAGGGAAAGAGAGAGAATGAGGCTAGAGTCAGAGAAAGAGAGACAGAGAGGAGCAGAAGAGATAGAGCAAAAGAAGAACAGAGAAAAGAAAAAACACACCACACACCCACCTGCGAGCGCGCGAAGCGCACACACACACACGCCACACAAACAAGCGCACACGACAACGTCACGCGCACACGCCGCAGCAACGCGCGCACGCGCACAGCAGAAGCAGCGG